AAGAGATGAGTTGTAAATGATCTAAGATGACCAATTAAAGCGAACAGTATCGGTTATGATTCTTTTGTCCGTTTCAAAATAAAAAGCATCTAGCCATTTATTGAATATTTTTCTCTATGTACAAGATATAGGAAGTGTGTTTTTCAGCATTTCAAAGAATGATATCTGGCCTATCAATCCATATAATGTTTATTAGGACGAAAGACGTTTCGTTTTTGTGTTTTCATAACAATCTCTTCTTCAATTATGTTAATAAAACATGTGGGAATTTCACCTATATGTTGGTGTAATTTGCTATGTAGAACGAACGGAGAGTACTCAAAACTTGTTATAATTTTGTTTTCTTGCCATTTTCTTTTTAAACTTATAAGCGTTCTACCAAGTTCTGATCTAGTACATAAGAGATGAAAATAGTAGTATTATATATTTTGTAATATATCTAGTTCTCTAGATCACGAGTATAGTAAAATAATCATGACTCGGAAAAAAACTCTATATCAGGATAGTTTGTTATAAATGTCTTCTCGTTCTAAATAGGCCTTACTGCATAGTACAAATCTTATCACGAACTATTTTAGCATCTAGAGTACATGAATATTTTTAAACTGTGATTGTGGGTATCATTGTTCGTTGTTGTACTATGTGATTTGTACATAATAGAATAAAAATAATATTAATATTATTTTAGTTATATCGTTCAATCAACCAATATTTGGTGCATATGCTTCTTGGGATAACGTTGGTATTACTTTTGCAACTAGTAGCACAGTTGGCACGAGTCCGTATGGAATTTTCGTAGATACTAACAATACAGTTTACGTCGCCAATAAAGCAAACAATCAAATTCAAATATGGTTATCGGGAAGTAGTATACCTACAAGAAATATTACCAGTGGTGTTACTTCTCCATATAGTATCTTTGCTACAATCACTGGTGATATTTACGTCGATAATGGATATACAAATAATCGAGTCGATAAGTGGGCATCAAACCGAAATATAAGTAGTTCAGTAATGCAGGTTCAAGGTGCATGCTATGATCTCTTTATCGATGTTAATAATACTCTTTACTGTTCATTGTATACTCAAAATCAAGTTGCTATAAAATCATTGAATGGTAATTCAAGCATGTGGATCGTTGCTGCGGGTACAGAATGTTCTGGATCAACTTCTAATTCACTTAGTAATCCTCGTGGAATCTTTGTTGATACAAATCTCAATTTATATGTTGCTGATTGTGGAAACGATCGGGTGCAATTATTTTTATCTGGACAAGTGACAGCAACTACAGTAGCAGGAAGTACAGCTACTGGAACTATTTCACTTGATTGTCCTAGTGATGTTGCGCTTGATGGTAGTGGATATCTTTTTATTGCAGACAGTAATAATAATCGTATTATTGGTTCAGGACCTAATGGCTTTCGTTGTATAATTGCATGTGCGTCTACCAGTGGCACAGCATCCAATCAATTAAGTAGTCCATCGACTTTTAGTTTTGATAGTTATGGAAATATATACGTTACTGATCAAGGTAGTAATAATCGAGTACAAAAGTTTATGGCAATACCAAATACTACCTATCGTAAGTATCTTATAGAGTAGAACATAACTTAACTATATAAGAAATCATTTTCACACTCACCTATTCTCATATTCTCAAAGCGATATTACACTCTAACAACTGAGAAAATTTCAAAATACAATAATCAAATGTTATCGAGCTATAGTTAATAAAGTTATTATTTGAATTTATTGTCAAAACTGTATACTTTTTAATTTCATGTAATAGATCAATAGTTTCCAAAAAACTATAGTTTTTTCTTTATATAAGATTATGAACTAACACAATTTTTATATCAGTAGTATATTGCCAATTATAGCAGTTCTATATCATCATTATTATCACTATTTCATTGAAAAATATTTGATACGAAGTTGTATAAAACAAGAAATTTTTCATAACCGTCTCATATGTTTCTGATAGATTTTAAGATGTTGATTTTAATCTAATATTCTTTGTTTATAGCTCTGTCTTTTAATCAACCAAACTTTTGTCCATCTACAACTTGGTATACAGATGCTGTTACATTCGCTAATAGCAATATAGCCGGTTCAGGTATCTATGGTATTTTTGTCAGTATTAATAACACTGTTTACGTTGCTAATCGAGCCAACACTGTAATTTATGTGTTTCTTGAAGGAAGTGTCATTTCTAGCAGAAACATAACCAGTGGTTCGAATAGTCCATATGCTATCTATGCGACACTTTATGGTGATGTATACGTTGACAATGGGGCTAATAGTCAAATTAATAAAATGGCAGTAAATGCCAATAGTAGTGTTACTATTATGACAGTTAATAACGGTATTGAAGGGTTTTTTATCGATATTAGTAATACTCTTTATTGTTCAATAACTTGGAGCCATCAAGTTGTCAAAAAATGGTTAAATGATAATGGGACTACTGTTACTGTAGTAGCTGGTACAGGTTCTGCGGGTTCAGCTGCGACTCAACTTAGTTATCCTTCTGGACTTTATGTTGATGCTCAATATAATATATATATTACAGATTGCGGAAACAGCAGAGTTCAATTTTTTCCATCAGGGCAAATAATTGGAATAACTAAAGTAGGCAGTGGTGCAACAGGAACTATTACACTTAATTGTCCACATGCTATTACTTTTGATGCTAATAGTTATATGTTTCTTATTGACTCTAATAATAATCGAATAATAGGATCAGGACCCTATGGTTTTCGATGTTTATTCGGTTGTACAACTACTGCTGGTTCTTCATCGAGCCAATTAAGTGTACCACGAACTTTTGGTTTCGATAGTTATGGAAACCTTTTTGTCTCTGATCAAAATAACAATCGAGTGCAAAAGTTCATTATAGCATCTAATTCATGTAGTAAGTTATTGTTCTCTTCTTCGAATGTAATAAATTGATTTATTTATCTATTCTAGGTTTGTCGTATAATCAACCAACGTTTTGCTCAAGTGCATTATGGTCTGCAAATGCCGTAACTTTAGCCTCAAGTTCCATTGCTGGTTTATTACCTTATGGCATTTTTATTGATGGAATTAATACTGTGTATGTACCTAATCGAGTTAGTAACACTATTTTAACATGGCCTCAATGGAGTACTACGCCAACAAGTAATACTTATAGTAATTTGAGTAATCCATATAGTCTTTTTACGTCTATAACTGGTGATATTTATATTGATAACGGTTATTCATATAGTCGAGTTGATAGATATATATTTAATACATCAAATCGTGTTACTGTTATGAATGTTAATGGAAGTTGTTTTGGTTTATTTATTGATATTAGTAATAATCTTTATTGTTCACTTAAAAATCTTCATCAAGTTGTTAAACTTTTACTTAATAATGGTACAACCATTCCGACAATTGCAGCTGGAAATGGTTCTGCTGGATCACTATCAAATATGCTTAGTTGTCCACAAGGAGTCTATATTGATAGTAATTTAAACTTATATATTGCAGACTGTGCTAACAATCGTATTCAGTTTGTTCAAACTGGTCAGTTAAATGGAGTGACAATCGTTGGTAATGGATCATCGACAAATTTTATACTCAACTACCCAACTGGAATTGTCCTTGATGTTAATGGTTATCTTTTTATTGTTGATAGTTATAATCATCGTATTGTTGCTTCGAGTTCTACTGGCTTTCGATGTATAGTTGGATGTTCGGGAGGTGGTTCATCTGCGTCTCAATTATCTTTTCCACAAAGTATGGCTTTTGATAGCTATGGAAATATATATGTTACTGATCGAAATAATAGTCGAGTGCAACAATTCACTCTTCAAACTAACAATTGCAGTAAGTTATTTGTATATAATAGGACATTATGAAATTGTAGTTGATAATTAGCTTTTTGTGCCTATTATTTGAAAAGTTAACACAAATTAAATGAAATGTGCTTGAATTATTTGATTTCATATTAATGTTTTTAGTATAAATTCTCTCTAATTCGATTGAATAAAGCACAATTGTTTTATATTTCAGCAATACCGACCACCACCACTACTACTACGAGCAGCAGCAGCAGTACCACCACTAGCACTACTACTACTACCACCAGCAGTACGACAAGCAGCAGTACTACTACCACTACAACTAGTAGCACTACTACAAGTAGTAGCAGTACTACGAGTACCACTACCACTAGCAGTACTACTACGAGTAGTAGCAGTACCACCAGCAGTACTACTAGTACTACCA